GGATATGGATATGACCGAACACAATCAAATGTCTATGTTTTTTGTTCGCACATTTGTATAGTTGTATGTATGTATGTATGAATGAATGAATGAATGAATGTATGAATGAATGAATGTATGAAGGTATGACTGTATGAATCTATGAATGTATGTTTGTATGAATGTATCAATGTATGACTATATGAATGTATGAATGTATGCATGGATGTATGTATGAATGTATGTATGCATGTATGTATATATGTAATAATATGTTTATAATATATATATGAATATATATAATATATACATACATATGGCGTAAGCAATAAGTATAATATATGTATGTGATTGTATAGGTGTGACTCATGTTTAATGCACTTGAAAAAAGTCCTGAAACATCAACAATGATCAATGACGTTTAGGTTTCAACTACCGGAACTGCAAAAACAAATAAACATTAGAAACAAAGACAAGCCTCTGGTATGGAGTCAGGGGCGTCTTCCTCATCAGTCTCCAAAAACTCCTGGCATAAAGGGTCAGCTTGAATTAACATAAACACAATCGTAAAGCTAAATAGTAAGTTGAATATATACTGCTAGACTTACTAGACTGTCGACTAGGCTACAAACATAGAATTAATTTATATTAATTAATATTATTGGTTATTGATAATGATGATAAGTGATTCATTAGAAATAAATTACGTCCGTATTATTAATTAGTCAGATGTCTATCCAAGTTCATTGAAAAAATAATAACAAGAATACTATATGACTATATTGAACAATGAAAATAATTAGATTATGTCAAACAATTAAATGTGGAATGTGGGAGGTGGTGCGTGGTGACACATCCCAGAAAAAAGGTGTGTGCGTATGGTTTGTTACGTGTAAACTAGCAATATTATATAACTATGCATGTATATAACTATAATTAGTTGTTTTATATATTGTATAAATTGGTTGATAGTTGGCCCATATCTTTTGAATGAATGTACTATAAGTTGTCGTTGAATTTGAATGTAAACCCGTTGGCACGTTTTGGTTGGCCCGCTGTTTCCATTGCTGACTGGTTTCCTGTGATTCATACGGCGAACTGAGTTGATATGACAGAGCGACGTCCAGCACATTCTTGATGCTCTGGATGTAGTTCGTCTGGTCTGTTACCTGATGATGGCGACAAATTATCTGTGGCTATGTGTGTTCCCTTTGTAAATAAGTTCGTTTTGATTGACATCATCTACACTTACTTCAGAAACAATATCACAATGAGAAGAACAGACTCTATTTGGAATTAAAATCATGAAACATGGGTCTAACTCATCTGATCAAAGTAGTTGTTGTTTATTTTCGACAATCAACAAAGTTTCAAGTTCAAATCTCTTCAACTCGCCTCAACCGAAGAAAACTTGGTGATGAGGTTCTTGATGCATGACCATACAGAAGTCCAGGGGATTCCGGTATCAGGTGCAAATGCAGCTGAACTGTCTTCCTCGATGAGCTTCCATGCCTGACAGTGCACAAGAACAAATGGAGTTAACCTACTGTCTTGATAAGAATTATAATGATGATTGGTAAGTAATCTCATATTCCATAGGATTTTACCTGGTCAGTATCAATGATTATATACCAGCCAGTACTAGCAACTGATGATGGCAGTATCAATGTGATCTTTGGGATGTGTTATTAACGTGCCTTGAGGTTCTTCGCAAAAAGGTCCTTGTTGGTGATCATGGTCGCTGATAACTCCTCACAATGTGCTTATTTCACACCAAGTGCTGATAATCAAAATAATACACTGTGATTGAAACCAAAGTCACTGCTGATGCTGAATATACCACATACATGGTGCATCTCATATGAAAGAACAAAATACAATATCATACCGACACTCACATGATATATCTGAATTTCATACGAACACCCAAATAAATTAGTTGAAAGGTAATGCCAGAAATATCATAATGAATCACATTAGCTATTTCTATTGCCTCACCCTGTCCTCAAAGCTGTCAAACAGCTCTACCATGTCTTGTAGAAGACGAATTTCGGAAACTTGAGCTTGATCTGAGCATGCCTGATCGGCGTCACTAATGGCAATATCTTGCAACAATGTTGTTAGAGTTTTTTATCATCATACAGTCATACAGCCATACAGTCATACATATCATATGATATACTTTTACAGAAACGTGTTATATAATTTGAATATATACAATTATATTTATATGTGTTAGTTATGTTATAAGTTGTCAGATTCAAAAAACAAGTATTTTGAAACTAAAGCAATGTATGATTCAGAATAAACTAAAACAACATAAAACATATTTATCAACATATATGTTATACATTATAAGAAAATATTTAGTCTGTATGATTGGATATTATCATATAATATCATATTCATAATCATTTATCATACTTTATAATATCATAAAATGATATTTGTGAAAAGCTACTTTCCTCATTCCTCATGATTCTACCATTTCTGGTTGACTTGGTTTGTTATGACACACACCATAATACAACTTCAAGTGAATGTGCCTGGTGTGAGATGAGCGCATCCACTTTGGATTTCATCTTGGAAAAGAGATCTGGTTTTTCATCCGCTAGTTCAGAGTCCTGCTGATCCGTGCCAATGACATCGCCGGTGTTGACGGGAGCCGTGACAGCCTGCTGTCATGGTCAGTGTGTCACAGATTGCAGGTTACACGGTGTACATATGATACAATAACATATTGGGTTTACATACATAAGTTATGTTATGTTACATTGATTGGGGTTGTGTTGCAAAGGTATAGTGTGTGAAACATTGTCACTCACCAATTGCTTATTGATCAAAAGTCAAAAGGTCAATATTATTAGTCTTACAATCTAGTTGTGTGGTATTGGTGTTGGCGTTGTTGTTGATGCTTTTGATGTTGGTGTTGATGTTGTTGTTGTTGATGATGTTAAAATGTTACTGTTAATGTTTGAATTTAATTTAATGTTGATGTTGATGTTGATGATGGTGGTAGTGGTTGTGTGGGTATTGGTGTTGGTGTCAGTGCTAATTTTCCACTTGGGTTGGTCCGCAAAAAAAGACCCCCACAAGTCCCAAAATTCTTTCATGAAATGCAAGGAACATAATGTTTTTGGTAGACTTGTGGTATCTTTTTGGTAAACCAACCCAAGTGGAAATTTACCAGGTGTCGGTGTCGGTGTTGATGTTGGTGTTTGTGAATCAGTTTTTACAACACAATATGTAAAGTTGAGTTACTATACTTTTAGTACCCACAAATTGGCCGGCCTCTGGAGAAGCTGTGTTCGCTGTCGTGGCATTGTCAGCAGTCAACACATCTTCCATGGGTGTTGATTCAGTCATTGGTGTCGACTTGACGCGATTGGAATGCTCTTCGCTAACCAACCATACAATCATTTCTTCAACATCTTCAAGTACGTCACCTTCTGGATCAGCAAATGTCCATTCTTCACCAGTGATACCACATGTTGCCAAAATCGTTTTGACATGTTCGTCGAGCTGAGGGTGATTTTTGCATTGGGTAACCAGTAAGTTCACTTCATCTTCAGACAAACACCTCACAAAGTCACCAAGGATAGGTCTCCAAACAGAAACTGGTCCAGTTGTCTTTTCACGGGTTGTCACTACAATCTCTGACAGATTGATATGTGGTCCCCTGCTCAAGTTCAGGTAAACCTCTGGAATCACTGTCTTGTCAAGATCCATATGTCCATCCTGTGGGTCATGCTCAACTGCGATATCCTTGGCATCAGTCACATGTACTTGATGATCAACGGGAGCATCGTTGGGCGGTGATACTGCAGAAGGTTGAGTCTTCTGATTCTGGGTGAACTTCATAATGGAAGCCTGACCGACATCAGGAGGAAGGTCAAATGGGTTGCTGTTGCTGTCCGCTTTTCTCTTGCGGGGTGCTACCGGTTTCTTCGGCTCAGACTTTACTTTTGCTTTTGATTTTGTCTTGGGTGACTTGGCCGTGTTCTTTGTATCTGCTTTTGTCTTTGCCATGGCGAACGATGTTGGATGCACGATGCCAGCAACGCCAAATTGAGAGATCAAAAAAATAAACATAAGTAACATGAATCTGATTTCTCATATTTGTCACCATGATGAATGTTGGGTTGTAAATTTCTGCTAGGTAACAAAAATAGTATAGATTATAAAATAACATAGTAACAAATAATATAATAATCCGAAGATATGAAATCTAGATTATGCTGTATGCTTACATAAGCTTCATAAGCTAATGATGTCTCTCTCATCGAAAAATCATGACTGGATCCAGAATTTGCATCTGAAGAATCAAGACAAACAACGCTAGATTGGCGCTCGCAGAATGGATTTCGACAGATCAACGAGAATCAATTTGTAAAGTTTGTGTCAACCATTTGTATGATGACTGCAATGTCATTCGTTTTGTTTTTTTTCTTCCCTTGCTTGTACCCACTTGGAGCTGTGGGTAGGTATATAGCGCTAAAAACGCCAGGTTCTATCTAATACTGTACTGCAGATTGAAGAAGTCAGTGTACAACAGACAACTGCCTAAAAATGAAAAGCATAATGATACGATAGATATATATAACTTGATATAACCGTACAATGGTTGGCAACCAGGTTTTCACTCATTCGTCATGATTTGTGGCTCCTATGACTTCAATCTCGCTTTGGGAACTGTAGTATGTTACTCAAAGTCATGCTGGATGAGGCGTCGGTCTCATCAATGCTTGGATGGTATGTTGCATTGTGAGAGTACTCTCGCAAGTGGAGAGAAACATGCATGACAAGAGCCAACCAAAGGGAACACGAGACATATGTCTCAAGGGTTAGCGGATTGATTGTACAATATCACGAATAAACAAAAACTAACTAATAATTGATTTATTCGAATGTTATTCTGACATTCTCATCATGTCATGGCTTGATTATGTTGTTCACACTTGTATAATTGTATAACTGTATAAATGTAAAACTCTACAACGTACAACTATTGAAGACCGATTGATCAATCAATCCGTTTCATCGTGAAGTGACATCGCCGCAGGGATTTCTGTGACTGTGCATTGCATACACGCTACACCTCGCAGTGTATCTAGCACATGTAAAATCAGCCACTATGTTACATCTGTACATCGTCGTATTGAAGCAGTGAAGCTACAGCAACGATGTAACTCGCGCATGCAAAGTTGCATTGATATCAAGTTTCTTCTCCTGACAGTTCGTGCTCAATACATTGAGCATAGCCTTCAGTCTGCCGTTCGCTTTGACACCTCAGTCAAGGCAAGCCCGAACATAAAGGTTTATTCTAGTTTGTAAGTATTACAAGTACCGATTGTGATTTTCCTTGTGGCTTGTCATTGCCGAGTTCATTGTCTAATCTGTCGAATATGTTTCAACATTTATCGAAATGTATCAATGGTTACCTCAGTGTAAATAATCCCATATGAGTCATATGGTCCATATGACTCATGTGATTTCGATGACCGTCCTATAAGAAACTTAGTATGGATATAATATATGAGACATGCTAATTTTCCACTTAGGTCGGTCCCCCAAAAAATGCCCCCACGAGTCCCAAAATATTTCATAAAATGCAGAGAAAATATTGTTTTTTTGGGGACTTGTGGGGGCCTTTTTTGGTGAACCAACCTAAGTGGAAATTTACCTATGAGACGAGATTCTCTGGGAAATGCATTTCTTCCCTGTCGGTAGATTTAACAGCACTGCGGCTGATTGTTCACCAAGCAATGTCGTTGCACGATGATGCAATGCTTTCAACTCCTTAGGGGTGAACCGAGTGGCACGTCACGATCTAAAAACATGGTTTCGAATCTTAAGCTCTAATTGCCTTTTTTTGAGGGAAAACGAACACACAATTTCAATATGTTCTCAAGGCATAGACATGAAACCGAAAGATTGGCGCAAATGTCAGACGGTTGACAGTTGAAAGCCGAAAGGTCTTTCTCTACTGAGATGATAATCTCTGCTGACGAATCGCATGTGTCCAACAACTTTTGCTGAACTGACTCAATTGCTTTGAGAAACTGATCAGGTTCATCAGGATTGATTTCAGGAATCACTTTCAACATGGCTTCAAGGTTCTTGACAGACTGAGTGGTATCCTTCTCATAGTACTCACAACGTTTGGTCATCAAAGATGTTGCACTGTTCTCCAAGTCCAGAAAGCATGTTTCAAATGTACCGAAATCTGGAAATGCATCTTTGAAGTCAGTGCTGTTGCGACTGAGAATGTCATGGATTGACGTCAAGCATGCCTTCTGGTGTTCTGGCTGTGTAGTCACCTTGGCCTTCCCTGAGCCTGGTGTTCTGAAAACACGATGCAACTCCATCAGTGGCCGAATGAACTGCTCGAGCCCTTCGCGTGAATCTGGTTCTTTGACAGCTAAGTCTTTGGCATTGCCTTAGATAGCAAACAAGTATTGTGACTATATGATGTATATAGTCGGAGATTGAAAAAATGATATAGAAGATAGTAACATGATTTGATTTCATGAAAGTCTCCAGACAGTACGATAACACAATTGTTCATATCATCTATTCTCGTTTATTTGAATATACGAGATAATATAGTGACATCATGGCTTCAAATACCAAGATACTACATGTCACAAAGACCTTGCATAAGCCGAGCAATTTGACATCCTCCTGATTGTCAGCATCTGGAAGCCGAGTGCTCAACAAACACATCTTTTCGGATAATGCTGATACTGCATGCACATCTTCTGCAGATAGTGGTGGCTTCTCCACCTCAGGGGTAGAGCAAATGAGAAGTGAGATTACCCAATCAGTCAATAAAACATATATATATATTATACTATGTAAGGTGTATGGTATGTGTGTATTTATATGTATTTATGTTATTTGTGTGTGAATGTATGTGATATATATAAATATGATGAATGAATGTATGCATGTATGAGTGCATGTTATGATAGTACAAATGCATGTACGAATGAATGTGTTATGTATGAGGAATGTATGAGTATATAAACTAATGTAACTATGAATGAATACATGAATACATGAATATGTTTGTGTATTTATGTATGTATGTATGTATGTATGCATGAATGTATATATGTATCTACGTATGTATGTATGTATGTATGTATGTATGTATGAATGTATGTATGTATGTATGTTATCTATGTATGTATGTATGTATGTAAGTATGTATGTATGTATGCTACCGTATGCATGTATAAATTTGTATGAATATATAAATACTTGCATACGCAATGCAGTATGTCATATAATTCAATCATTGATCATCTTCATGCAATAGACACTATATCAGCTCTATTGCTTTAAACTATGAATTTTAGATAACTGAACTAAACTAAGAATGTTGAATATTGAATTATCAAGACTTGACCCCAAACAAAAAAACATAGTTTGTCATACATGACCTTGGCCATGATGATGCCAATCTGTTTGATTGCTATATGCAGTGTGTCTTGTACTTGTTGGTGAGTCATCTTGCAAACAATCTCCCTCATGTTCTCAAAGGATGCAAGCGAACTTTCACTAGCCAATCCAATCGACGTGATGGATTTCAAAGAACCTGTTTGGTAACGATTGATCGAATCAACCAACCGCATGATCACAGGCGCCGAGGTTTCACAATTGTCCTTGATAACTGATTTGAAAGTATCTTCGATCTGATGAATCAGCGATTCAGTGTCAAAGGCAATCTTCATGATTGATGTTGCATCGGAACTCACACATTTGCTTCCTGATATTGGCTTCCAATTGGAAAACTGCATGGTTGGAAGACTGGAAATTGTTTTGGTGTCCAAGAATTTGGTAGCTGCTGGCTGGAACCATGGAAGTCCTTGTCCGAGAATGAAAGCCTTCGAGACCGCGGTCACGAAATCTGACAAAGATTTCTTTGCAGTTGAGATCACACTCTTGTATGATGATGCAACCTGTGATCCACCCTTGGTGAAAGCCTCTGATAAAGAATGAAAAGTATCCACTCCCAGTTTCGAAGCAGTTTCCCAATCGAACGTTTCCATGTGACACTCTGGCATGGACTCCATGAACTCATCAATCTTCTTCACATTCTCTGTCAATGCCTGAAGATGGCTGACTTCCTTCAAAGCATTCTGGGCCTTTACGTTTGCATTTTTGATGATGTATTTTCCCTGGTGGATTCCAAAGAAGACTGCTGCAAGACCGGCATCGTCACTTTGATCATTTCGCTCCATGGAGGAATGAAGGACTCCAACTGACTCAATGATCTTAGCCGGTAGAAATTGGTCATCACACACAATCACGTGAATATGATCAAGTGATTTCACCATACGGCCTTCCCTGATGTGTTGCTTCATGTGGCCAAGGAAACTTTGAAGCGGTTCGATCATATCGTCCGTCCATTCAGCCTAAGTTGAGCAATTGGAAATTGTAATTGTAACTATTGTAACATGAGTTGGAAACACAATAATGAACAAACCCAAATGTCAAGTGGTATAGTATTGAAGATTGTAGATGTATATTGTCCTTTGTCAGCGGAAAGTGAATTTCCAGAACAGTTCAAACTAATAGGAACTGAAAGAATACTTAATCACAAACTTGCATAAAGTTTTTTTTAGAATTTAGAAGCCCTAATATAGCAATCTAAATGCACGGGCATCGGTGTGTTGAATATAGCTTTAGTTTTTTATGCATTATATGTGAAGCAAATCATTCCGACAAGAAACTTTAGCAGGCAATGATTTCAGAAGTCGTTGAATCAGTTCGCTTGTCATCAATTCGAAATGATGCTCGCCGTTTCTGAATCCAAGGATGTCATGCATCTGTTGGCGAGAGTCGGTGAAGGCTTTCCAATCACTGAACTTGAGGTATTCAAGAGTCAAACATTTGAATCCTCGTTTGTATGTTGCCATAGAGACATTCACATTGAGGCTGGACTCAAGATCTTTCAATGCCGAGACAGCATCTGAATCACCTGTACAGTTCAGCAAGGTGGTAGAAACCTTGTACATCCTCATAATCTCCATCTTCATGTCTTCAAGTGTGGTTGTCAAGATGCCACCCTTGTCTTGTCGTTTTGCGCTCTTGCACTTGGTTCGCATCTTTCCTAACAAAGTATTCATTTCTTTCTGTGCTGTTTTCATGCATTCGTTCACAGCTGCATCTGCATCTCTACAACTGGCAAACAAATCGCTCTTCAATTTCTTCAATGATTCGTTGAAATCTGCAAGAGTGTTCTTGTCAGACTCATTTGATGCATCTGCTGATTGTTGTGTGTTCAGCCTCATAATCTTGGGTGCTTGTTGCTCAGACTCATCGTCATCCTGTTGACCTTTGCGTTTTTTAGTGCTTGCTGACTTTGCTGCCTGTGCCTTTGCCTTTGCTGTAGGTGCTTGCTTTGGTAATGCTGCTGCTGTCGATGCTTTTGCTTTTGGTGTTGGCTTGGCTGCTGCTACAGCTGGTCTGTTTCCTGCTTTTGATGGAATTGCAAGTGCAAGCATGTTGAATGGATTGACAACGTTCTGATTCAAGACATTTTCTTTGTCACTCTCACTTTCATCATCTCCAGCTGATGTATCAACCATCATTGGTTGGGGTTCTGATGTTACATCGGTAAGTGCCAATGGCGACGTGACACCCGTGGACGAAGATGATGGCAATGCACACTGGGTCTGTGGCTGATACACCAAACCTGGCCGACCACCTAGTTTGAAGAACGGAAGATCCAATGCATCCAGTGATTCCGAAGTACATGACAACCCTTTGGATGATTGCTCAAAGACCTTGTTGGGAACATCTGGTCGTGATACACCTGCTGATTCGTCTGAATCATGGATTGTCACATTCAATGCTGATGACCGTTCACTGGCATTGATCCTCTTGTAGTACCCTTCACGACCCGTTCTGACGTTTACCTAACTGTGTGATGATAAACAAAACAAAGCATTTATTATAGGTTATTCAATTTATATTTAATACATATTCGTACAGTCACACAATATACCCAAATTGTATTGTATTAAAAAAATGTATCATTATGCAAAGCCATGATACTCCTTGGACCCACTCCCCCTTGATCATCTCTCAAGCTATTTGGGATTCCTTCACAACCACCCCTGGATTGTCTGCCATGTACTTTGAAAGCACACAAAAGTATTCCTCAGGATCCTCCAGGCCCGATCGCTGTGTGTTTGACACTACCACCTGCACTCGTGGACCAAGATCCATGTCCGTACGAGGACGCCAGTCTGGATTGGCATTTCTGGCATCAATGTACTTGGCACGTTGAGCCTCAGTGGGATGTTACTCTCATACAATATGTGCATGCTGCAGCAGCGGCAGCAGCAGCATCAGTAGTAGTAGTAGTAGTAGTAGTAGTAGTAGTAGCAGGAGTAGTAGTAGTAGTAGTAGCAGTAGTGTACCGATACACTATGTATTGTACCTAGATTATTGAATCATAGTACTGCTGCACCGTACCATCGTACTGTACCACTGTACCCTCGTACCGTACCATCGTACCGTACCACTGTACCCTCGTACTGTACCATCGTACCGTACCCAGTTTCGCTCGTACACACTTGTACGTTTACGAGTGTACCAATTTAGTATTGGTACACTCGTAAACGTACAAGTGTGTACGAGCGAAACTGGGTACGGTACGATGGTACAGTACGAGGGTACAGTGGTACGGTACGATGGTACGGTACGAGGGTACAGTGGTACAGTACGATGGTACAATCTGATGGAACATTGGCACACAGTACAGTGTTACAATAGTATAGCACATTAGTACAATGAAATGCTTTAGCAACACTAAAGGTTCCACACTCTGGTGCATACTAAATTGTTCATGATAATCATAATCATAATTATAATGTCTCTGTGTGTGTTGACCGGTCAGTCAGACTCTTGGTGAATAACTGACACTGACATAACATCAATCAGCATAGCACCAAGAAGCAATGAATGGATGTAGTCTGGTCGGGTCAGCGGCCAGCAATCGATCAAATCCTGTGAGATCTTTGGGATTGCAGTCGACGGCCCACTTGCCGACAGTAAACACCTTGGATCAGTTGGGATTGAGTTGAGGCTTCAACCACTGGATGGGAAGGAATCAGATTAAACCTACCCAAAAGAAACATTTATTGAAGCAGTACCTAGATTCAAGTGCACAGATACGACAGACCGTACCAGCTGGTTTCTCCTTTCGTCCCTGGTTCCATGGTACCAATGGTTGCCATGACGCAAACAAAGACAATGCTAGTGGTGACTTCGCCCAGCTCGGTGTGCGACAAAAACGACAAATCTTCATTTTGTAACCATCAGGAATATCAAACCCATCGCACTTCATCAACTCGTGGTTCATGGTGCGTATCTCCCTAGCATCCGACTCAGCCAATGACTTGGGAGCCATTGCTGAGACAGATGGATTGCGACGGAGTGAATTCGAGAATTCGGTGTTTTCGAGTGTGGCTCTTGAGAATTCACAATATAGCAAGGAAGGAGAAATAAAGACAACATGATTCCATGGTTCAACCGTGTTGCAACTTGATGGTTTGATGGTGTAGCACCAGTGTTGCGATGGCACCGTGATGAATGCTGATACCATTCACATTACTCTGCCAGCTTTTGTTTTCCCAGATCGCCTCAGCAATGTATTAATTGGCATTCCTCTATGCCACTATGATACCAAACAAATTTCAGGTACCAACGTGGCCCCCAGAACAAATGAAGCGATTCCATTGAAGCAGCCTAACGGACACTGGTGTATGTTTATGCGTTGTGATTATGATACTATTGAAACAAACAACCGATACTTATATGATGATTCATAATCATAATTGCATATTTATATACCTATAGTCTAAAATAGCTAAAATTACAATTAAAATTAAAATGAATTCCATATAGGTTGGGTTATTGAACTATTTTTTTTGTGCATTTGGTTAAGAAGCCTTTAGAAATGCATTGAATCTAATTCGCGTGTGAAACATACCTCATCAACAAAAGGTCTGGTCGAGCTCCAGCAGTGTCCACGCTGCTGATACCGAGCTCCAGGTTCACGATGTATCTGTTCCATCAGAAGATACTAGCGAATCAAACCTGGGCCAATAAGAGTTTGGAACTGCGCAGCATGAACTAATTATTGATTCGGATGTCACATACATCACCATATCACTATCTAACCATACCCCAACTTCAAATGTGACATCACAGGTTTTGATTTCAGCATAATTCTCCAAGGCACTGAAGTTTGGTTTGGGTTATGGTATTTTGAACTGTTGAACAGATTGACACATTGATCCATTGACATATATTAGCCATGTGTGATATGTGTTGGGGTTTTGGTATCTGGATATGATCGATCACGCATCTAGAGATCTGGACATCGACTAGGAGCATACGCTTGTGTGCGGCACTGTCATTCCGGTCCTTGACACGCAGCCCTGCTTCGAGATAGTTCATACACAATGTACATGCACCATATGGAAGTCGACTGATCAGTCTGACGACGCTACATTTGGTATGTAGGTAACAAGCTACACTCATGGAGTGGCCTGGCTCTCCGATTTTGAATTCGGTGATACGTCCTGGGCAGAAGCGGTACGAAGACTTGTAGTTCATGATCCCTTGTAGTTCAAGTATATTGTCATAAATCAACCTTACAACTTAACATATATTGTTTCATAAGAGATTTCATATACAATACTACGACTACAACCTTGTTCATTTGAATTTTGATAAAGAGAAATTGGTGTTTGAGAATTTGGAAGAAATATCAAAGGAATCGAATCAAATGTTGCATCTTGTTGTAAACAAGTTTCCAAGCGCTCTTCTGGTTCCATCTGCAAACTCAGCTATCACTCTTTGATTGGATGGATCAACGAAACATCTTTGTGGTGCATTGGAATCCAAAGGTCGCATGTCACCAGGTGATTCAGCATTTCGAGAACCACTTGGTTTCGAAGATGATCGCTTTCGTTTGTTTCCCTGTTTCGAAGAACTTGATGCTTCTGGTCCCTCATCAAATCCATAGCGTGCATTTATGGCATCGTTCCAATCAACCTCTAACTCATCAGGCTCATCATGATCATCATCAATGACAGCTTGAGGGTGATGTGATCTAGGAACCCCATCCAGCTGGGCCAGTAGCACATCAGCAGCAGATGAAGCGCTTGTCCGACCACTGGAATTGGATGATGATTTTGATTTCCCACCTTAGTGCATGATAAGAGAACGGTGAGACATTATCATCGACATCACTTAATCATAATAATACATCATACCCTTGTAATTGTCCTGGTGGTTTGCCACCCCCAAAAAAAATACCACCACAGGTCTACTTCCAGTAGGATGTTTCCTGTAGTTTTCCTACATATTTGGGATGCATACCCAATATCAAATCAAATATATTATCATTATATAATTTTATTGCTTCAAAACATACACGAGATCTATATTATTAGTTATTATTACTATTACTATATGATTATTAAATGATATTGTTCTATTCATGGTGATGATGTTATATTCATGGTTTATCAATTTTGATCATTTCACACATAGTCATAGTAAATGATTGCATATCATACCAAACCAATATCACAAATCACAAATTCCATACATATTACATATTTGTTCTTCAACCCAGATACTTGAAGATTGTTTTCCAGGCTTCTCACCAAGTTCATGCAGCATCTTGCTTAAACCTTTGGCCGTAGATTGACCTTCACCTTTGGTAGTTTTGGTCTTGGTCTGTGTACCTTTGTTGAGGACTGATACCAGCATACCCAGAGATTTTGCAGCAGCATCATCGCCAAATCCCAAATCCTTTGCATGCTTTCCACCATCCACTAAAGATTGAAAGCTGTTTGCCACAATAGCATCAATTGTTGAAGGTTGATGGCATGGCCGTGGAATGAGAATATGATCATGAGTCTCATGCAAGTCATACTCGAAAAACAAGTGGATCTTGAATCCATCTCCACCTGTGAATGTACTGCTCAACCAAATTGCCAACTCGCACATAGTATCCGACTTGGGACACAATCGATTTGTTGCACCCAGAGGTTGAAAGTCCAATGTCACATAGTAATGGGTACCGTCCGCTTTTTCGATTGAATCAATCTCACAGTGAATCCAGTCAATCTCCAAAGGATTAAACACGAATCGGTATGCCAGACGAGCCCAAATCCCATGTGGTGTAGCCACAACTAAAAGAGGAAGCTTACATGATGGACCAATGTGAAGTGTTTTGCCCACTTTGACATCTCGTTTGGAAGCCACAATGCGAACAATTGTTCGAAGCATCTCGACACAATTGAAAAACTGTTTGGAGTCAGTGATATCTTTCCGACAGTAGCGACCACATAGGTGTTGACATGATCGCATAGAATCCAAATCATCACCTGCCTTGAGATTGAATGCTGGCTCTGCATTGCAAACCTGTGAGTATGATGATTCAAACTCCGTATCTGACTTGGAAACAAATCCAACCATGTTTGAAGCCTCCTGCAACAGTGCTTCCGAAACTCCAAATTCAGAATCAGCCAAACCATACAATCCTTGACCATAGATATTCAGATACTCAATCGAGTCCGCAACAGTGTCCCCAGACTTCTCTTCATCAACTGCAACAACAACAACATTGTCTGGAGGTTGATCTGCAATAGCAGGTTGCTCAGAGAAAGGATACTGTCGACCTGCATATTCAGCAAGGGCAATTGGTCTATACCCAGCTGGTGGCTGCATAAAATCATGATCGGCTGCAATGCCCCCTGAATCGATAGTTGTTTTCAACAATCTCAGTTGATGAGTCGTGATCTCATTATCATGAATGGCTGCTACCTGATCAGCTTCTGCAATATCCAGCATGGTATGCTTACGGTTTGCATTGGCTGCTGCATTCAATTGCCTTGCTTTTGCTGAAAGATTCCGACGTATCTTTCGCATTTCATATGAACGTTCATTCCATTTGGCCGTGGCAGATCTGTGAACACGCTTGCGGTGTTCCGACCATGACACTGATTGGTCCTGGCTTTTCCAACTTTGGCTCTTGTACTCATTGGCAAGGAAAATACTGAACCCAGTCTTGCGTGATGGTTTTCCTGCAGGGATGTAGTTTATTTAAGTTATAGTTTCTAACATCACATCATGTGTATAATAATAAAATATATTTATATAATATATATTTTGTTTTGAGGCTCGAAAGCTTATCAATATGAAGCATATATCATATAGTCATATAAAGTAAACAAAGGAAACTTGGTCTCTGATGTGAGATCTATGTTGATCACTGCTGATGAAACACAATGCCAGTTAATCAATAGTGTTCAAAAATCTCATATGATCCAGCAGACTTGTGCAAACCAGACCTGGATCAGCTAGCTTGCATGGTGTTCTCCCATGTTTTGTCAAACTCCTACAGTGTCCGAGCTTCACCTCAGCTGAAACATGCTTTGCCACCATCGACCCGATATTGTGTGCTCGACCGTGTAGGCACTGCCTGCTGCAGCTAGCACGCGCAAAATTTAACTCGATTTCCATGTTCGAAGTCTTGCCTCTAAAGGCTACTTGAAGATCAGATGCAAGTGTACCTGTGAGAATGGTCTCAGGACTCGGACCACCACTGTCCGAAATACATTGCAACACAGGAGCTCCAAACATTGATTCCACACAACATGGCGAAAGCCGACACATGCTATGTGCAAGTTCCAACCGATCTTCAACAGACACACTGGAGTCAACCAATTGAGCTATCTGCAATGGAATGCGCTGATAAGGCCTGACAAGCCTAGAATGCAACTGGCCCAAAGTGACAATGGTGTACCAGAACCTTTGCATTCGAAAGTCTGCCGGTGGTATCCCATCAAAACCTGAGTTGTTCATTCAACCTTTTTTTCGACCTATTTTGTGACCCATTACTTTTGGAACCCTCATACAATGGAAACAGTATTGTCAGTATTGTCATGTCTTTAGTATTTAATTACAATTACCAATTCAGAAATTTGTTCAGTGAAGAAAACAACAAACCAGCACAACATATGTTTAAACAAAAGGAAGAGAATGTATACTGCATACCGCTTTATAAATGTTTTGTTTCATTGGCTAGGCACTGTTTTGTAGATGCATGAATGTCTTGACATATCGCGAATATTCACCAGTGTCATGATGGAGAAGCGCTCGAATCAACCAGTTCATCGATGACATAGCTGGTGAATGCTGCATGTTCGCCATTTGAACCAATGGAAGCTTTGACACATCACTGTCCAGATGAGCATTTTGGGATTGCCATTGGAACTGCTTGGTTATGACAAATTCTGCTGCTGGAACAATAGAGACAGCCAGTCCCAATTTGAACAGTGAGTCCTCCGCTGATAGAAATCTCCATGCCTTTTCTGATCCTTGGTACACAAGTAATCTCAGCGGTTCACTGGTATCATCAACCGTTTGAAATCCGAAATGTTAATTCACAAGAAATCCTAGACGAAATACTTAGACACAATGATTTGATTCATAGTTTGTTCTTACGCAAGAAATGTTGCATGAGTGCAGATACGTTTCCCCCCATGAAGCCTCACTTTGTTGAAACTTTAATATTGAAATTTGTCGTATGTATATTCATCTTACCTAGTATCCTTTCAGTTTCAAATGTAGCCGATTTCAGTTCGTTGCAACTCTTCTCAGTGCTCAGTGAATGCTCCACTGATGATCCACTATGACTCATGAAGAATATTCCATAATCCATAGCACTTAAGGTTCCCATAGTTCCAAACATGAGCAGAAAGGAAAAACAAATAGAAGAATAATTTAAATTTAAATCACTATATAATAAAATATATAATGTTGCGTTTATTTTATAAATTATATTAAAATATATTGTTATGTTATATCACATTATATTATAAAATATTATACTGTGTTGTTGTTTATTTATATGTATTTTTATGTAAATGCCTATGAGTGCGGTCTAGCGTCTCGCACCTTTCATTTTGTAGTGCAAGTCTTTAGAATTTTCAGCAACCAGTGCAGATGTCGTGTACTCGATCAAAGAAAGTCCGTCATCAGGATTGTCTGAGCTTGAACTTGATGATTTCCATTTGTATGAATACAAATGTGCGAACCCACGTTGCAAGAGGCGGTGGCATGCCATTTGCAGCCTCAGAACTATCAAATCAACACCAGTGACCAATGATCTTGGTGGTATGCAGCTACTATAAACATCGTACGGTCACAGTTAAATGGAATTCCCAACCTATGATAACATTAAAATATGATATAGTAATATAGTACAATATAGTAAAGTAAAAATATAATAAGCTAGAACTATAACATTTTCCAAGTCCATGTGATAGATACACACACTTGTAGGGAATATGATGGTGAAACAATATCATATCATATGCAACTGTAATAACAATATTATATTACTGTAACTTTAACAAGTAACATCATATCATATCCAGCATATCATAGGTTTTGTGTTGTTGATACTAACTATATTGTAATTGATAAAAAGATTATGTTCTATTATTGAATATGTTTTTTTACATTTACAACAGAGATAATTCATTTTCCATGTTTTAGATCCCACAGTAATACCAAAGGTCCAGTGAACTGGAACAAATAAACAACAATCTTGGTATTGGAATATATGAGTTTGGATTTGTATTTAGTTTGCCAAGCAACAAAATCACACGGGCAGCTTTCACACATGTCGTCCATCTGCTGATGGCGGGCGTGGGTGGACGTCTTCTGAAAATCACAGCCTGTTCAGGGTATAGGGATAGACATAGGTGATATGTAATTAGTTATTGGGTTCTTTTTTATAGTTACATATTTACAACATACAAGATGCATGAGCACAAACACCGAAATATGAAGAATAATTATAGCAAATCATTTAAAGCCTTTCTCCACCAAATACATCCATTGGTCATAGTTCATTGACAAACGTTCATGTCATATTGTGAAGAAAAAAACTATCGTCCCCAACCTGTATGGCAATCCACAGCTTCAGTTTAGACTCTTTGACGCTGGAACAGCACCCAAACTTGCACCAGTGAACAATCCTGTCTGACTTCCAGCTGTCATTATCAATTGATAATAAATATTCGCATGCTTCTCGTCGACGTTCCACTGACAATGATGGACCCTCCAGACAGTCGTCATCGTCTTCTCCCGCAAATGGAATATGAAGAAATGTCGCTTCCAATAAAATTCGGTTTTGCTCAAGAATCCCAATGTTTGGCCTTGTGAATGTTTCACTACTGGCAAAACCAATGAAATCACCTATTGTTGGATTTGATGGTGCTAGCGTGACACTTGAGATTCTTAAACCATACCTAGTCATAAACTGTCAGTGCTACAATATGGGAATGTCTCAAAATAGCGATGCTCGAAAATGTTTGTTTTTAACCGAAAAGAATAGGTTCGAGCATCCCTATTTTGAGACATCCCCATATTGGACCCGCACTGAAAGACAAGTGTCTCGCCATATTCTATGACCGCAGTAGTGTCAATCAGAAACCAGATGTGCATCAGCAGGTCATAATAGCTGGATCCGTTGCTCAACGAGTTTCCCAGGCAAAACCTAAGCGGAGATATTGATTGACAAGTTGACTGTAATGAAGTTGCACTACTCACAGATGCAATGCATAGCACTGCGCAATGGATATGAGTTGTAATTGTAATAATAAGATCAAATCGGCATCATATCGTATATAAGATATATACATAAACTCATCAGATTCATACGAGCGGCAAAGCAGATAAAATATCCATTGCCCTCCAGAGTGGCTCGCTCACATGATTTGCCGCATGCCTCGAATCAAATCATTCATGTGTGGGAGATATGTTTTCTCATAGTCTCATAGTACCTTGGAGAAATTGATTCAATTGTATCATGTCTTAAACATAACATACAGAAGTAATAGATTTGGTCGTGGATGATTTGGTCATAGAATACGGAAGTAGCAGATTTGGTAATAAGGGATGAACATGCCTAGAAAATTAAAACTATATTAATCATACTATATAAATAAATAAATTATATTAAATACAAATAACTCAGTATATCGAGACAAATGGCTAACTATTCATGATACACAGTTGATTGAACTAAATTCGACATGTATGAACACATGACTCATATGACATTACATACAACATCAACAAACACTATTTTGCAAATGAAGTATCTATCGGGTCTCATACTGAGACGGCATGGAACATGTATACATAAACAAAACGGATCTCTACAATTTACCACTGTGAAAAAATACTGCATATATACACCAAAAACAGCAACCACAACTACAACTACAACCACAACTACTACAACTACTAGAACTACTAGAACTACTACAACTACAACTACTACTGCTACTACTGCTACTACTACTGCTGCTACTACTACTACTACCACTACAAATACTACTACTACTACTACAACTACTACTACTACTACTACTACTACTATTACTACTACTACTATTACTACTAGTACTAGTACTAGTACTACTTACTACTACTACTACTACTACTATGATGATGGTGTTTACAATTTACCACAAACTGTTGTGGTTCAAAATTCAATTTGTGATGGTTCTGGAATTTGAAACCATATGACATTTTGATATCCAATGCCATAACAATTACATTCAATAGGATATCAAAACATTTGGTGTAATCAGATTTGTATTTTTGATTCTATATATACCCTGGTTAAGTGGTTAAGTAGCTATGACAAAACATAATATATGAATGTACCAGAGGAAACAACACTTGGTTTGACCTCATACCCTACTGCCAAGATGCGTGTCGCAATCTTTCCAGAGACACCAAGGGGTAGGCAGTCCATCAGACTCTCTGAGCGTCTTGAACATGTACGAAGCCAGTTTAATGTTTGCTCCTGGTTGGGTATGAAAGGGCACATGGAGTGATACATATATGAACTTCAACAATTGAAATACAATATATATATATGATAAAAATAAATCATAATTATAATTATAATTTTAATAATTATTATTAAAGTATAAATTATATATATATTATATTTTAATACTACCCTACCCAATTTACCTAATGCACAAATTGTAAGTAAATAACGAGCAAACAGTTATGTCAAACTATGTAAGTGACTAATAAATGAGAAAAAATCATGTATGTTTATATGCTGTTTTATCATACAGCGAATGCTGCATCATACATCAATGGTATACATGGTTCGGTTAGAAATGACAAGGTAAACATATAACTTCATAAAAGTGTTCTTTACAAATACGCTTTCTTTATATAATTATTGCCTGAGCATTGGCACATAACATATCAATGTTATTGTCCTTGTTGATGTAGCATATGACAACAATCAATCATAAACAAGCAAATGCATATGCTGCATATATATGGTAACTACTGTGCATCATATAATAAGATTATATAGTTCGTTGTTTTGAAAATGTTTCACTACTATGCACCAAAATAAAACAATATTATTTACAGTAGATAATAAAAATATATACGTGTATATAATCTAAGAATCTAATATAAACTATAATTATATAATATTTGAAAACCTACGGGTGTAAAATAGTTAGTAATAAAATCTAAAACCAGACTAATATTATGTCATGTGACACGTGTTTCTTATTTTCCATCGATAGATACTCTATTTATAAATAGTTGTTCTTCACATAAATTTCAAGTGAAAATCATGGGCCATGTTACATGTTGATTTGTAAATAGCTTAAGGATGCAATGTACTATTTAACAAAAAGCCTGTTTGATCAGGTATTCATGGTGGGTTCAGAACATAATCATAAATATATCAAGTTCCAATCGATTTGTATTAACTGTAAAGCTAACAAATGTGTAAGTGTGGAAACAGTACATAACATAATTCGGCCACAATACCCATACCCAGTCCTGCTGCATCTGAAAGAAGGTACAGGCAAAAGCGTTCAGATAGTCGATGAACATCTGCAAGTGCATTGTAACTGATGAACGCTAATCAGCCGCTAATCAATATCTTTGGAGATGTTATTGTCATCAATGAGCTAGCCGCTAATCAGCCGTTAATCATTAACTTTGGAGGCTTTATTGTCAATAATGAACTAGCTGTGTAAGTCTGCTCATGGCCAAAAAAACATCCTGAATCCTGAACTCTGATATCAATGAAATAGTTGCTTCTTTTTGTGAAGATGTGTTGGCTGATTCAGTTTTGACGTCTCCATAACTCATTAAATATTCATACAGAGTAACGACATGGATGAAATAAAGTAAGCAACCATAAACCAGTAACCAGAACACTACTTGCAAATATTTGCCCATACAATGGAAACAAACACAAGTTGCCAGATCAAACTTAATCAACAGTCCCCAAAGAAATGAACCTCGCGGTGAAATGGGTAGTGTTGCAGCCATACCGCCAGCTATCGCTTCAGCTGTGCCCTGGTGTAGAACTGCTGGTGGGCAAACAACTGTGTGATGCCTCAGTGAAACAGTGCACCGGGAACACCACTAACAAGACATCATTACTTGCTCAGTGAGGAAAACATTACAAACCAATGACACCAAAAAAACAAACAATTGTTATTTGATTTTGTCTTTAATCAGATGGAAATTTAGATTCAAACTAGTCTGTTTGATTGAATCAGAAAATATTTGTTTACAAGTTAAATATCAGACTATCATGTTTTGTATGTATGATTCTATAGCGTGCAGTGTCCTATTTATATTTATAGTACAGTATAGTATAATGTTCCTGTTAGTTTTGACTTTACGAAATGGATCATGACAAACAACACCGAAAATCACTATACTATACTGTATATACATAGTTACTTAGAATTAGAATTTTAAAATATATACTTATATTTTGAAATATTTCCTTATATTTTATATACTTATGTTTTTTGATGCTTATGGTAAATATGTGTGAAATGAAACATATATCAATATGATCAGATTTACATTTACATTTACATAGTTTTTTATGTGACATATCAAAACTGAACAGATAAATCTAGATACAAACAAATACAACAACATATGGTATGTGACAACGCATATCACATGATTCAAGTGTATTAGAAGACTACATGGGCCCGGGCTATGACTATCCATATGAAAAGAACCCAAGACAGTCAAGACACATCCATGACGATGTTGATGAATTCCGTGAAAACAGCTCCATACGTTGTACCTGAGAAGCGGGATCGACATAGCCACTACCCACGATACCTTAAACGTGATTCGATCTGATCCGATGAGATTCAAACAAATTTCTGAAACTATCGTACCAGTTGATCGCAACATCCAAGAAACACATTTTTGTTTGACCTTTTTATCCATCCAGATATTTCTAGATGATTGTTGAATAGCCTCCACAACATCGATGTGTTTTTTGGTATTTGTCGAACATATTTCTTGATATATTACTTACAATTTGACTTACAGTTACAATTAAATTACATTGTTTTTGTTACTGACAAAATTAGTTACAAACTCTGTCCATGATAGATTGGAATTGAAATCGGGTTCATGATCATTTGCCAAAAAGGAACCCCCCTAAATCAGAATCACATAAGTCAAAAGTTGCCAGTTTAGTTTCAGCTTGAGTGACCAACTAACAAACAGAAACCAAATACAATGTACCATACCAAGTGACTAGGACCGGCGTAACACCCTCTACTCGCACCAAATCACGACGCAAGCGCATGGTCTGACCAGATTCATCCCACTCCAGATTCATTTTGAACATATGGTTTGATGTCTGGCTCTGCACGATGACGTTCAACACTGTACGCTGTAAAGCCAGAAATGTGTTCACCACACAATTTCGGACCTTAGCGAAAAAAAACGTGAAATGTACGAAACATACAAACATGTTTACATGTTTACAAACACAACAAACATATCAAACATATGAAACACAACAAGCCAATCATGAAAAGTGACCCGTGCATGGTGATTACATATTAATTTATCATGACAATGTCTAACCTTTCTAATTTCTATCTCATGTCATGTGAGAAAAAAAACGGTGCAAATTGTAAATTGTGATGCGAGTTCAAATACATGCTCAAAAAAACAACCGAGAAAAATTTAACATGAAACCAGAAACAAGCTGGCATATGCGAGTTAGTGAGTGTTTGACTTGGTGCATCACAACTATTGTCAGTTGGATAGGCAAAGTCATAATGATCTGTACTGTGCCCAGATACGCTGGCGATGTACCGAGATGTTGAGGATAGCCAGTAAGCAGTTGAGCATAAAGAGAACATAGCCTTGGATGTGAGGAAGATACACACAGAACGATAATAATATAGTAAACTTCTAATATCATTGGAACCTCGGAATTTGGCCAACATTGCATATATTATATAATATTATCATATATTGACTATCTTCATGGTGTATTCATGGGTTTGATTCAAGATAGAACTATTTGGGAAAGGGTGCAAGTGTTTAAAGACAATCATATTATATTTTATTATGAATGTGATGTTATATTATGTTAATATATTCGATTGGATGTGATGTGTGATATATGATATATGATTATATGATGTTTATTTGCATATTATGACAACGTGATTCTTGATATTGTATACATACATAATTACGTACATGTTACATGGATCTAACAATCTAACAGATAGTTCTCAGACTTCTGTGAGTCTGTGAGCTTGATATCAAAGGAAGGTGATGTAATGTAATCCAACTCCATCATACATGAAACTCAGGGCCTTTGAATTCATATTGCTAACTGGATACTTGTTATTTACAAACGAAGGTCATGTGAATCAAACAAAAAAAACAATGTTCCAGGCTGCACAAGTGAATGACAAATTATGTGACAAGTAATTTCTGTAACAACCAACTGTGTTTGTGTAATCAGTGATGATTCAGAACATACAACACGGCACATATGTTTTCAGGGTTGAGAACCATGTTGAAACCAAGAAACGGGAACTTGCTCTCTCATCGCACGGGATTTGCATCTGATAGCTGAAAACGGAGCATTGCCGAACCTGTGAGGTCTTCATGTAGCTGGAGATTTCATGATAATCCAGTGAAGTATGGGTATGTTATGTTATGGAGTCACAGTTAAAGGTGTTGTTTTGTTTTTTTTTATTTCCCTTAATATCATGCAACATGTCAACCCCAGTGTATCATTGAATTATGATTTATTATGTCTGAATCAATAGTGCAGAAACTTAGACAAGCAATGACAAGGAACGTAGTACGAAGCATTGTTCTTGCTGTGAAGGCTTTATAGCGACCTCGACCTTTCACCGGAGCCGTTCGTGCTCGACCTTTACGAAGTTGTACCAGATCAGATTGTCTAGTTGCATTCTTGTTCACTCGCCCCACCAATGTCCTTGTTGGACAGTGGCAATGTTGAAAAGAACAAACATCAGTTCATTTGACAACTTGTTTATACACAGTGATTATGTTCACACGACTGCATCGCATTGTGATTGAAATTGTTAAACAAATGATGCATAGTAATCTCCCTATCAGCTGCGGTTGCAGGATCTCACAATAAAACATTATCATACAATGTTGAAAGCATATACTGTTTTTTCTTGTTTAACCTTGACAGCTTGACAGCAGTGGATGATATGTTTCTGTTTTAGGGTTTCGACACATTTGATATCAACGACTCACCAATGACCTTACTGATTACTGATATTGTCTGACGGTTTGTGTTTCTGTTTGTTTGTGTTTGATTGATATCAGAGGTTGTGTATCAAACCATAAAAGGATATGATATGGACGTGAATGATATGATGTGTTTTTCTGAAATATTTCCCAAATGACCAAATGGTCTTTGTTGGTCTCACATCAAGGCTGCGTTGCAAGTATCTTCAGATCATTCGCAGCCGATTGGCGTCTTGAAGGTATTCCTGAATGTGATGGGTGATGCTATTGACCGGAACTGGTGCTGGCTTACGAATGAAGTTTACAAATCTTGGGCCTCATAGATGGAACTGTCCAACCCCATGTTGGATAAATCAAATCATTGTGTAATTATATGTGGGAAATGATTGAAAAAATGAGTTTGTTCATGTTTGATTTGATGAAACCACAACACCATCATGAAAATATAGAATATAGATGCTGATATTTGTTTTACAACCTTCCGATCGCATGTTACAAGAGTATCAGGTTCCCCCCCCACAACCACCAAAACAAAGAAACACATAATTAAAAAAAACAAAATACAACTAAACTGACGGTCCTGTCACGTAATCAAAGTTTTGTGTTTCAACATATCCAACATATAAATAAACAAGACAAGACTCTTCGCCGGTTTCCAGCAGTCATGCCTCCACATGTTTCCAGTATTGATCTGAAAGCTGATGTCGACATTGCGAAGAGCCGGAGATCACTGGATGTATACGTTGTATGATGCATGCTGTGCTGAATTAAAAAATCTATCTTAAGTTATAATAGCTACATGTTCGCAGTGGAGTCAATAGATTGTCCTTGTTAGAGTATGTGCATTGACAAAGACGCATTGGCTGTGTAGCTTATTCATTTTGATGTTCCTTTTGGATCTGATTGGAAAAGTAAATTGTTTGAACAAAATGAAAGAAAATAACAAAACTTCATTGCCTTGGTTTTATTAACCTTGCAATATACATAACATGTGACAGCCACTGCATTGCGAAATCATTGGAAAGAAACAACGAACCCAAGCCCTGGAATATAGGTTCGTTGAGGCAACGACCCACTGGAAAAAAAAGGGTCATTGATACTCACAATATCACATGTGAACCATCTACAGTGACAAACATATACCATATACCATATATAATATAAGTTACAGAACACATGTGACAAAAACAATGAATCATCCGCTTGTAATAAGATAAGATCGAGGAACATCGCATGAACAATGAATAATCGGCTTGTAATAAGATCGAAAAATGTCAACAACAGCTCATATCACCTGAATAAAAATTCCACATGATAATTCAAGTCAATTTGGTCACTCAATCATCAAACCAGCATAAATCATCAACCCATGATCAAGGTATACTATTTTAGTTTACGATGAACATTGCTCAATTTCAATTGTTTCTTCGATTTTTTTCAGACTTCATAGCAGAAACAAATGGAACTGTAAGATACTATAAACATATGTTTTCTGTCTATTGATATGCTTACAATAGTCTGATAATCTGATAGGAAAAAATAGTGTTATTACTTAATTATTGCCGCTATCATGATCCTCCACCTCCCTCCATCCGGGACACCGCTTCACATCAGGGTCACAGTTCTGATCTGCGCGGTCTATTGTATTGATACTCATGTATACGTAGTTATCAGTTATAATCAGTATAATATGATGATAGCAATATGACAATGTTTGTGAGTGTTGATATGTTTACAATAGTCAATAGTTGGTTTGATGTGATAAACACCATAGAAATCTCAAAAGAAATCGAATCAATATCAAAGAACAACAAACTATATAAATGTAGTATACTGAAAACTGAAAACATTCAGTATCATCACTCTTAGATTGACTCATATGTCTAATTCGATCTGATTATCACTAACATAGCCAGCTTCTATAACAAGTAACAGTATCTATTAAGTATAACTGTATAACTGTAAAACTTATCTTCAGAAAACCACCTAGACACAGATGCATCTAATTACAGTTGCTATTATGTGACTATATATATTAATATACATATGATAGATAATATAATATAATATAATATCGTATAATATTATTTAATATATGTTTAAGAAGAACATCTGCAGCATCTAAATCACATCATGTTCAAAATAAAAATAATCATCCCACCGTCCCACCGTATCATCACGTCATCGCACCGCACCATCGCATCATATTCTAGCACTGTACCATCGCACCATCGCACCATACCATCGCGCCATCGCACCGTACCATCGCACCATCGCACCGTACCATCGCACCATCGCACTGTACCATCGCACCATCGCACCATACCATCGCGCCATCGCACCGTACCATCGCACCATCGCACCGTACCATCGCACCATCGCACTGTACCATCGCGCCATCGCACCGTACCATCGCACCATCGCACCATGCATCGTACGTACCTAAAAATGATCAAACTTTCAAAAAAGCAGTTACGCCTATCTTAAACTTACATAATGCAAAATTGTAAGAATTCCAGAAGACTTATGATTGAAAGCAATTTGGGCCAAGCATTCCAAAAATCTGGACCTCGGCCGGTCATTTTTTCATTCAAATTCTTTGCAGAGTAAGGAACAAGGACACCGCAAAGACGGTGAGGAACCCGGCCCCAACCTCACCATTGGCTGGTCAGGGTCTTCTGATGTCTGGTTTCCGAACAAACTACCACGGTCGCTGCATAACTGGGAGGCAATTCATTGCAACTCGAATACTGAGCCGGGTGCTGCAAGGAAGCCAAGAAGATTGCCGAAAGGCAACGGCAAGTGCTTGCAAATCAGATCTTCCATGCCACCCGTTTGGTCTTCTTCCAGACTGTAGCCTGGATGAGAGTGGTAAGTCAAAACAAAAACAGGCCGGGGACAAGGAAAACAACAGGTCATCTGGGAAAGGAAGCATTGCGCATCCTCCGCAAGCAACGGCATGTAGAGACACTGAGACGTGAGATAGCTTGGTGTGTTGGCTGTCTTGGCTCTCATCACAAGTTGCATTTTGCGTTGACACTGCCTCAATGTACATCTGTGGTATTCTATGATTTTCTATGTATACATATAATGTATCTGTCTTTGAGGCGGGGATTTCTGGAGTTGTTCCATTCCGTGCGAACGTTGTGCCATGTTGTGCCAAGCGGCACACGGCGTATTTGGCGAAGTCTGCCAGAATGCTGGGCAGAAAGCAATTGAGGCCTCTGAGGGTCTACCAGGGTCCCGTTAGGTCATATGTGAAAGTTACCGAACGAACCTAACGTTGGTGCAGGGGGGATAAATGGCGAGAAGCTGCTGGTAGTGTGCTTCCATAATCTTCTGAGTAGATAAATTGCTTGCCTAAAAAGTTTATTTCATGGCCCCACAAAACGGCTACTAGCGTCGTGCAAAATACACATGTTCTGCAGTGTCAGGATGTTTTGATATGATGTTGACATGTATTGTAGGGATTTGTAGTGCATTTTGTTGCAAAACGTTTCGTCTCAGATATCTGCTAGACTTCTCAGGACGGTGGTACGATGTGGGAAAGCGCGTGAGACATATTTTGAACAACAGCTTCTTGTCAATTTCTTGTCTATCTGGCTCCCATAGTCACAAATTTGAAACTTCGAAGAAATCTTCCGGATCTGTGCCATGTGCCTGCCACCAAGGCCACACGAAAGTCCTTGAAGGACAACAGCAGGACCAAAGAAGTCGCGACCACCTCGGGGCAAAAACAGCATGATACAGCATGGCCAGTACCCTGGCCTAACCCCTTTCAAGCATGACTTCTGTCCGATTTCAGGATTTTCATGGATAGAATCGGATAGAAGGACTGCAAAGTGCGTGAATGACACATCAACTGCACTGTTTAGCTGTGCAAAGTATAGAGAACAGATGAGAACAGCAAGAATCAGCTGAGCGGCCACATCCAAACAATGCACTCCAAACACTCCTGTCGATTCCTTAGCTATGTGAATGGCTTCACAAAAATATCTTTAAAAATAGCACACAAAAACCGAGCGGGTTTCGGCATGCCGACGAACATCACGACGTGTCATGGAGTATTCGCAGAAATGGCTGCCAAGACCTGCCAAGCCTCCAAGCCCAGGTAGGAAAGCAGGCAATGGGACGAATAGAATCCTGAAGAGCTACGCAGCAGGCAATGGGACGAATTGTTGGTTCCAACATGTTGGTTCTTTTGGAAACTTGGTCGGTTTATGACAGTAGAATGACACAGGATGAGTGCATGATGAAGGCATCCCATGACTATGTCGTTGCCGCATCTTTCTCCAATTACTCTGTTGAGTCTGTTGAGTCTGTTGAGTCTGTTGAGTCCTTGTCCGGATCCGGCTTCAGAAAGGAATACAGCTGTGCCATAGAGAGATTCAACCTCGAAGCTTGGTGGAACCGTCAAGACCATCCAAAACCATCCAACAAAAACATCAAAAAACACAAAGCTGTTTTACAAACGGCCTCGGAAAGGCGCGTGCAAAACACAACAATCGCTACATCCTGTCATTTCCTTTCAAAATGCGCCCAAGTTGACTTCATGTCCTTATCATTTCGACGAAGTTTTCATGAGATCATGAGATCGAAAAAGCATAAAAGGACCAGCGAACCAAGCTGATCTTATGAAAACTTTTGACCTTTGGGGTCACCTAGCAGACCTAGCAGCAGCTTCTGCAGCTTCTGTTTAGCCAGGAGGCAGCAGCATTCTTCATTGTCTGCGCAGTCTCCTTGGACACAGACTCAGGTAGGCTCAGACTCAACCGAAAAAAACAATGAAAATTTGAAAACTGGTAACGAAGCACAGCTGATCGTGAGATCTGTTCCGTCTGTGTCTGTCGTTTCAGTGGCAATTGCTGAGCGCTCGTTGATCTATTTTGCTCGGGTTGCAGGCCAAGGTCTCAGGTCTATCTCTATTGCAGGCCGCAGGAAATCCAAAGGCCAGCTACGATCACCACACACCCATGGGCCAGCACACGGCTGCAAGTCAGTGGGCGCTTGTGCCTATGGCGAAATGCTGCGGCGGCAGTCATGGATTCTTGTGCTCGAAAGGCGAAGTGGCACCTGCAGTTGTGGCTGGAAACTGCTGATTCTCACACTCGTTATTCTTTTCTTTCGCCTTTCGCGCTTTCCTCTGCAGTTGCTGTTTCAACTTTTGTTGCCTGTTTGCATCTGTCTGTATCAAACTGAAAAGGCCATCTCGCAGAAACTGGTTCAGAATAGTTTTGTCAGTGTTGACTTTCGTCAAAACATTTGCCATATTCTGTTGACCATCTATCCAGCGCACGTCTGCTCCTTCTTTCCTAACAGTTTCACGAAGTAAAGCACCTTCTATCGCCATCCTCTTGTCTGATGACGTGCTGCATGCTTCCTTGTGCAAATAGTCGAAAACTGAACGTGCATCTGTGACGTAAATGCGCTTTCTCTGCTGAATGACATCTGTCCAATTTCGTAAATCTACAGAACCATGAAGTGCTTCATGCAAAACGACTATGATCCAGTCTCCACATTCTATGGACTCTGAGAGGTGACTGGCTTCCGCTGCTAAAGTACTTCTGCAAACTCGTTTTGTCTGGCTGCTGTTGAAGGCTAGGATATTGGCTCTGGAAGGCTTTCCTTCTAGGACTTCCGGATTGGCAATCAGGATATAGTATCCTCCAATGCTCCTATATCTTTTGATCTCATCATGTTCAGGAGTTCCATTGGCGTGTCCTGAATCTGCCAAATGAAGTATGACGACGTTCTGAAGGTCGACGTCGTCCCAGAAACGCATGCGTACATCGGCTCCTCTTCTAGCTGCTTCTACTGCTGTCTTCAACCTCAACAAATCTGAAACCTTCGGTTTCTTCTTGCAGCGCTGTACGCAACCATTGTCAAATGCCAAATCCGACCTCAACTGTCTTGAGATCCATCCCAACTCACCGGCTCCTGAGTTGAGGATTCTCTGCTCCTCTTCTGTCAAATCTGCTTCTGGCTGTGCGCGTCTTTCTTTGCTGACTGTGATTTTGCTCATGGACAAAGCGTAGTTTCTCATGCAAACATCAATGTATCCTCCACAAACGTTACCATGCTCATCTTTCTTCTCTGACTGCTTGATCTCTCGGCCTCTGAAAGTGAAGCTGAAACGGTGGTTTGTTGCAAAATCCAGTGACTGTGAGCTCTTCTGGAAAAGCTTCTCCTCTAAGCCTGGTCTCACACCCCCTTCCAGATCATCCACATGAGTGATGAGGATGCCGTTCAAAACTCCCTCCTCATCTCAGTGGTAAAAACAAAGCTGGCTCCAGCACTGATTCTTTCCAACCGTCTGAAATCAAATGCTCTCTAAGAGCAAGCCAGAAAAGTCGAGCGGCTTCTGCAAAGCCATATATGGCCTTTCTAGCTCGAAGCAGCTGTCGCCGAGCTAAACCTGGTAGGCCTCCTCTCGGCTGCTCCAAGTATACTTCTCTGTCCAAAGGCTTTCCGCAGAAGTATCCATTCTTGACGTCTTTGCAAAGCATGATGAACTGGTAAAAGCTACAAACGCAAAGCAAAATACTTTCGGCTATCTGCGAGGCTGTAGGAGCATCACGGCGATATCTGCCTAGGGCCTTGTCACGAAAACCCTGGACAACCAATCTTGATTTCGCTTTGAAGTCTGCATCTGCAACTCCTTCATTCTTGTTTGTCCTCACCCATCGCGTGGGGACTATGAGCTCCGGCTTGCTTCTTCTGATCTCCTCGCTTTCTTCTACTGTCAAAACATCACAAGCCTTCTTGTCTATCCAACCTTGCCACTCCTTCGCATCTGATCCTTCCTGACTTGTGAACTCCTCTTGCAACCTCACCTCAAGGTTTGTAACCTGATCTCCTTTCTACCCTTCTTGGCTGGTTGTGCTGCTGTAGGTACTTGCTTGTTACTTGCTGCGAACGCATGCTCTTGCATCTGCTGTATCTGAGTGTCAAAAATGTTGCGCTCTACTCCAAACAGAAAATCCTCCTCGCTGATGCCTTCTGCCTCATAAAACTCTGCCTTCATGGCATATTGCCTGGAAGCTGCGCTCAACATGACCTCTGATACATCCTCTGCTGAAAGAAACATGGCTCCTTCTCTATTCCTACTTGGTGACCCAGCTCTTGATGGTGAAGTTATTCGCAATCTCTTTGCTGCTCTTTCTTCTGCTTCCTCTCTGGCTGTTCTCGTTTCTATTGGCGGTGGCCCTGCGGTTGGCACGGCTTGTTGGTACGAATCTAGGTCAGGATCGTACTCCTGCATTGGGATTGGCGGCAACTCTTCATCATCCTCAAAGTGTGGTAACTCTGCATTCTCTGATGTCCTCACACTCTCTGTCATAGTAAGTGACTTCAAGGACAAAGTCTTCTTCAGCTTCCGCTCATCCTCTTTTGCCTTAAAGAACTTGCTTGACTTCAGCGTTCTCCTACGCAAGTTTTCTGAACGTCTCATGCCTTCTTCAAACTCCTCTCTTCTCTTTCTTGACTGAGGGCTCTCTGCTCTTTCTGATTCTTCTGCCATGCTCTCAATCTGGAGTTGTTCTGGCTGGTCTGGTGCAATGGATGGCTCGTATCCATCGGACTCCTCTGCTTCTGGCACCTCCACTTCATCTCTTGGAACCCCATCTTCCAGTGGCTCCTGTCGTGTCTCTGCTGGGCGCCTCTCTCTCTCATCTTGGTCTTTCTCCTCATCTTCCAACTCCTCAAAACCTTCTGGTGGCGGGATGTCTTTCCGCCTGATGTCCAAAAAGGTGTTGGATGTGACTGCTGGTGTCGCATCTAAAAGCTCTGTTTCTCTGGAAGTCACCATCCAACCACGCACTTCCAAATCATCTGCCAGACTGAGATGTTCCGGCGATGCAGCCACCAAGATGCCACGGTGACTCAGCCAAACGGTGTGGCTGCTGTCGTGGCCAATAACTCTTGCAATCCCTCTCCAGTTGTGTGGGCCATGCTTGTCGTAGTAGAAAACGTAGCTGCCAACTGGAAGAGGCCCTCTTGACGGCCGCACTCTTCTCAATTCTGCTCTCCTCAGTGCCTCGCTGTTGGACGCACGAATGCAAGCCTCTCTTGCTGCTGTTCTCAGTTGTACCTGCCTATGGAACCTTGTGGTAGGTGTCAATGCTGCTGCCTGCGCACCTATTCTTGCAACTTCTCCATCGTCCAAAAGATCTCCAGGAAGACGTATGGATCTTCCAAGGACCCACTGCTCTGGGCTGAAACCTGAACGTCTTGCTAAACTGTTCCTTGCCTTGTTGACCTGTGCTATGGCTTGCAGGACTTCTGACTTTCCCGCAACTTGTTGGCTCCAAACGAGCTTTCGCCAAATGGTTTTCCATGTGCCTCCATGTCGCTCCACCGCGGCAATTTGCCAAGGTGATGCCTTTGCTGCTAAAGAGACTTCACATCCTTGCTCCTCAAGGTTTCTTGCAAACTCATTCATGAAATATCGTGCTTGATCCAGCACGACCCCTCTCTCTGGCAAACCGGCCCAAGTTGACCAACCCTGAGTGAAGGCTTCTGCAATCTCTGCTGATGTCGGGTTGCGCACTGCTTGGTCCAAAAGAACCATGACTTGGTAAGTCGTGCCCAAGTCCAAAATGTTCAGCAAACTCCAAGAAACTTGATCTGAGTCTTTCACCTCGATCACATCCATGCCCACAATGACGCCAAACTCGTCCACCGTAGGCAGCTTTGATGGCCTTGGAAGTTTTGGTTCTGCTAGTCTTGGACATTCTGGGCAACGAAACAACCTACAAGCACGGATGGCTGCTTCGCTGGCTCTGCTCATGCGCAAGGCGCGCAACATATCTGGAAGTCGCGCATGACCCAGATTGACATGCACACGTCGTATGGCTAGGCGAAGCTCTCGTGGTACTCTTTGCCATCTGCTGCTGGCATCTTCTTCTTTGGGCTCTTCCAGCTCTTCTGCTGCTGCTGCATTGTCTGTCCCAAAGAGCATCACTACCACCTGCTTGGACCTTGTTGGCAAGGTTCTGTTCTGCTGTGTTGGTGCTAGCTTGTGCCATTCCTCCCACCCGCTGCTCAAGACTTCGTCATTGTCCATCAAGATCAGCGCTTTCCTGAGAGGAACTTCCATTGGTCCTGCGTGTGGTTCTGGTCTCTTCATGCGTCTTGCCAATCTTGAAACAAGAACCAATTGCACTTCTGTCTGCCCTGTTTCCTGCTCTCTAAGTTGCTGCGTTAGCTCATGCTCTTGTTCTAAAACTGCCCAGTCTACCGCTCCTGACTCCACTGTCCACGTCAGGATTCTCCTCAAAAGTTCTAGAGTTGCTGGACCATGTACTCTCTCCCATGCTCCCTTCTTGACCTCTTGAACACGTGGCCTTCTCCGCAAAATGTTGCTGGGTGTTGCTGGTGCTGGCATTGGCTGGCTTTCTCTCGGTGTGGCTGGTTCCTCTAACTCCTTCAGGAGCTCATCATCGCTATCCAGCTCCGGCATCTCTTCTTCAACAGGAAATGCTGCTTCCTGTCTCTTCTGCTGAAAAGCCACGTAGTCACTGGTCATGCTGTCCTCAAGGCCAAGTAGGATTTCCTCACAAAGCTGCTTGGGATAAACTGCTGCTTCCTTGGAGCGGCTGGCTCCAACGATTTGCTCATGACTGCCTGGTGGGCAATTGCACTGTTTTGCTAAACGGTTGAGAATGTGTTCGTTGTTTCCCAAACATCCTGTCTTCTTCTTGACAGGTTTGCCTGTGTGTAAGTCTGTTTTGCCAAACCTGCATTGATCTCCTTCTACAAACTTTCCACCTGCCTCCTCCAACAAGCTCACCAAAATGCCTGAGAAAATCCAAGACAAAGCTCCTGCTGGGTTCTCGAGCAGGTAATATCTGCCTCGCTCATGCCGGTGTTTGGCGATCGCCTTCACTAACTCCAAAGTCTTTCTCCCAACTGTCTGACGCAAGCGGTGCCAATCGATGTGTTGGCTCAAGTTGGTGAGTGTTGACCAAAGTCGGCAATCAAAGGCAATCAAGGTGAGAAGGGGATCATGCTCATCCAGTGTTCTCCACAGTAGCTCAGTGCCTTCTGCGCTGAGTAAATCAACTCCATCCTTTACATCCATGGGCTGGCTGTTGACCCAACCTCTGCTGAGTGAAGCTAACCGTGTGACCGGGAAGGTTCCTCCCCATGGCTCAAAAATCATGCTGCATCTGAAACCATCTGTTGCTAACTCCTCAGCTTTGGTGTAATGGTGTCTCAAAGCCGCCCACAACTGGGCATCCATGACTTGCTGGCTTACTGCCGCCTGCTGCAACGCCTCAAACCTGGCTACATGCAAAGACTTCCTACGGTCTTTTGTGGTGACTCCTCTGGACCCAACCTGGGGTTTATAGGTCTCCTCTGAAAACTCTGCCGCCACCACTTTAAACGCAACAAACTCCTGCAAAATGCTCTCATTGGCCTCCTCTGCCCAAAACACGCTCAAATCCTCAGCCTGTGACTTGATCATAGGCTGGCCCGACAAAGTGCTGGTGACGTCGAGCTCTAAGTTCTCAAAGGAAACGTCTATGGCTAGATGCTTGGTGCGGGTGCTAACCAAAGGGAGTGTTACGCCTAGCTCCTGTAGGCGCATGAGTTTCTTCCGCATGAAAACGACTGCATCCAAAGCATCTAGAGCTGACATGGACAAAAGGAGGGGAGTGTTGCCTTCTGGCACTTCTGCTGAGTGCACCTCTCCTGGCCTACCACCCAAGCATATTGGAATCTTCCAAACTTGAATCTGGGATGCGGTTGAAGAGCCGTTGGCAAAATGAAAGGTCTTGAATTGCTGCAAAGGTTCACATTTAACCATATCTGGCAGCCGTCGTGAAAAAGCTAACCTCCAGCTCATAGAGTGCATGCATGCCGTGCAAGCTGTATCGATAAGGGCTAACCCTACTTCATCTCCAGAGGCGCTGCTTTGATTGCAAAACTCTTCCATGTCTATGGGCATTGCCATGTGCACAAACTCTGGCTCATCAACCACAAATGAATTCAAAAACATGCAATGCGAGGTGTGCACCTCGCCCTCTGCCGTCTCTTGCTCACTTCTCGTTCCGCCCGGACCCAGCAGATCCGGACGCAAAGGACTGCTCATGAACTTCTGCCAGTGAGGTGCGAAAACGTGTGACTCCCTCTGAGTATGTGATCGCGAACTTGCAACCCTTGGGTGAGAAATTGGTACACCCATAGAACTTTCCACCATCTGCCCGATTGGTTCTGCCTACCATCGGAGCTTGGCACTGCTCGCAACGTAGGTGGTAGATGGGGATGCCCTCCATGAACATGTCATCTTCGGTGTAGCGCCCACTGGGACCAATCATGGAAGGATCCTGCGGGGACCACAAATCTCTCATCTGCCTTTCTTGCCTCATCTGCTCAATGACTGGGGCTGCACGTGCACGCGCCGATGACTTCGGCAACACTGGCGCCTGTGCTTTTGGAATCTGCGGCACAGGCTTCAATTCCACTGGCTCATCTTCCAAACATGCCATTCTGACCAAATCCTTTGCTGATCCACGCTTTGGCACTGCCTGCCATGCATAAAACTTGGTCAAACGTTCCTTCAGGCTCTCCTTGTTCAAACCTGAATACGCAATCTCGTTGGCAATGCAAAGCTCCTGCAACTGCTGGACTCGCTTGGTGCTGAGATCTGGCATGACTCTCTCCTCTGCTGCAAGTGCCACTGGATGCACTTTGATTCCTGAAGCTCTGAATGCATCCATCTCATCAGCACTGGGGCAGCTGCTAGCAGGGCGGTACGGTACACCGCCGATCACGATCTCCTCTGTGTGGTTGTAGCCTCCTCCAATGCTAGAGACCTCCTCCCATGGTGTTGTTGGGCCTGTGGTTGAAGGTCGAGGCGCTGCCACACGTCTGCGAAGTCCATCGTCACCGCCATCTACAGGCATACGGGACTCATCATCATCATCATCGGTCCTCACCATGTCTGCAAACTCCTCCACATCACCTTGGGTCAAAGTGAAGAAGGATGGGAAAGGTTTGTCTGACACCACATTGGCTGAGCCAGACTTCTTCCCCTTCTTGCCCTTTCCCTTGGACTTGGCGGGCTTGCTGCTCTTGTTGGGACAAATGCTGTCCCCGGCCCAATGGCCGAGTCGCCCGCATGCACCGCATCTGCTGCGGGACTTCTCCTGCTCGATTGCTTTGGCTCTCTCCTCTACCGTGAACTCTCCTCTAAAGAACCCTCGGCTCTTCTGCATGTCTTTGAGTTTCTTCCTCTGATCTCGGTAGGACTTCCGCATCTTGTCCATTGCTGCATATGCCTCATGAATCTCATCATCCTCTGAAGCACCTTTGTCTGAAATCTGTTCTCCTTCATCTTGCCAAGCCTGATCTTCTGTCTCCTCATATGCCTCATCTGCATACTCTTCACCTTCATCCTCTTCCCACTCTTCATCCCAGCTCTCCTGTGCTGCATTTGCATGAAAGGACTTCTTGCCCTTGCCGCTGCCCTTCTTCTTCGGTGATCGATCCTCATAGCTTCGAAAACGCTCCTTCTCGTGCAGGTCGTGGAATGAGATCCTCAAGGCTTGCTCAATTCCTGCACCATTGTATGAAGATCTGTTCGCCAAGAGAATGGCACGCCTGTCATCTCTACTGAGATTGCATCCACGAAGTAGGAAGTACGCTTGAAGATCCTCTGACATGTTGCTGCTCTCATCAAGGTCACGCAGCTCTCTCCATGCCTGCTTCTTGTCTCTCAAGTAGCTGTCGATGGGCTGGCCCTTCTTGCGGTAGCTCTGGTCGAAGAACCTCTCAAACGCTTCTGTCTTTCTGATGATGGTCTCCTTCTCGATTGTGGTCAGGGCTGCAAACACAAGCTCATAGCCTTTGACCACCCTCAACTTCTCGGGCTCCTTCAACAGCTCTTGACAAGCTGTCCAAGCCTCACCGTGCAGGGCGTCGATGAGGCGCTTCGCAAAGCGCTTCTGCTTCTTCTCAGGGTCTGCACGCTCTTTCTCCTCGGTGTCACCATCTCCTTCTAGTCCAGCAAAGGCGAAAAGGACTCTTTGCTTGTACTCCTTCATGAGGTGTGGCATGACCCCTGTATAGTGTGGGATCCCATCTCTGTCCACCGTGATCTCATCGTCCCGGTAGAGCTGGAACTTCGAAGTGTCGGCACGAGCCATCTTTGCAGAGTTGCGCAGTGGTAGCCTCTGGAGCACTTCGGCTCCGCTACCAGTTTGAAAACTGGTAACGAAGCACAGCTGATCGTGAGATCTGTTCCGTCTGTGTCTGTCGTTTCAGTGGCAATTGCTGAGCGCTCGTTGATCTATTTTGCTCGGGTTGCAGGCCAAGGTCTCAGGTCTATCTCTATTGCAGGCCGCAGGAAATCCAAAGGCCAGCTACGATCACCACACACCCATGGGCCAGCACACGGCTGCAAGTCAGTGGGCGCTTGTGCCTATGGCGAAATGCTGCGGCGGCAGTCATGGATTCTTGTGCTCGAAAGGCGAAGTGGCACCTGCAGTTGTGGCTGGAAACTGCTGATTCTCACAGAAAACAACGAAATATCGGAAGCACCGGGATGGCCTGAAACATCCTGAAACCACAATAGATATAGATGGCGCAATTTTTGAGGAACATACATCAATATACGTACAACATACATACCACATCTTTCAATTTTCGTTCATGGCCATGGTATGCTGTGGTTAATCTGGTGCCAGGTGGTTTTTGCTCGTTGACATGTCGGTACAAAGGCGTAATCGTAAACAACACCCACTGCTACAAAAACGAAGCCGCCAAAACACATGCCCAAAATAAATCTATTGTCAAACAATGTCAGACATAGTGGAAGTCAAGAGGTGGAAGAAAAGCAACAATAATTTCAATATATATATTTCAAC